GCTTACCTCTCGAGTTTGCTTGTGAGCATTAGTTTTACCTTAGCCATATCACAGATCAGATTCTTTACATTCGCCGCAAGCGAATCACGTTCCTTTTTCAGATTCATCTTCCGCGAAAAAAACGAAAGGCGATTTATCAATCAGAAATCAAATCCATAGGCAACAAAGTGGGATTCTTGAGATAATAATCAAAGATCTCAATATGCACAAGAAAGGAGCAAAGAGAAAGAGATCACATTTTCACGGAGGACGATCTTCGGTCTTGAGTCGGATTCTTGGAAATCGCTCTCTAAACGCGTCGCCTTCCACTCGAGCTCTTGCGTATCGATTTCTCTCTCTTGTATCGTCTGCCTCAATTCGATCGCTTCTGCCTCCAGATTCGAAACCCTAGAGGCTATCGCCATTGACGTGATCTTCTTCGCGAGATCAAGCTGCTCGAAAGGATCTGTCGGAATAACGGATAGAATCTCATCAGGAAGCTCGGAATCTGATCGGTCTCCTCTAACCCCACCGGAGATCCTTGACATCTCTTATCACGTCACTTCGATAAACGATTAGGGTTCTTCCAAGTTTCTGATGTTGCAGAGGGATCCGAAGAGTTTGATCTCAAAATGATTGTTCGGGTTCTGGTGAATTTGGTCGCAAGTCTCTGTTTTTTTATTCTCTCACTTTTTCAAAACCAACTCTTTAGATACCTTTTCCCTCCAAAAAATAAACAAAAGAAAGATATTTATTTAATTAATTATATCCAGTCAAAGAAAATATTTAATTCTCCAAAATAGATAAATGAAATAATATTAACTTGCACACGTAGATCATATAGTTATACATTTTCTTAAAGTTTTGTTTTCTCAACCTTATACTATAAACATAGATCAAGGTTTAGTATTTGTTTTCTTTTGTAAATAAAAATAAAACAAATTTATAAAATATTATATAAATATTCTTTTTAAAAGAAATAATGAATTATGACAATATACGGATTAGATCGGATATAGTAAATAAGAATAAATTATGCCCATATGATAGAAAAATAACTGATCGACAAGTTTTTATCTAATCCGTTTGTTTTATTCTTTACGTTTCATAAAAACAAGTAAATAATTACTTTCTACAACCCTTTTTTTTTTGGCAATTCACATATCTTAAAGGGATAAACACTCTCTCTAATAGTAATTTTGACCAATATAAATTAGGAAATGAATTACAAAGAAAATTATTCTTACTAGTCTAGAAAATTCAACCAAATTTAGAGAATTTCTCATTTTGTATAATCAAAATTAGGTAGTTCTTGAAATTGTTTACTTGACCAGTTCTCTTTTTTGTCAACCCGTATAAAATAAATTAAATACCTTATTCTTTGTACACAAATTTTGAAACAAAATAAAATTAACGATTTATATACCAATAAATCACACATTTGTCTCTCTCTCTCTCTCCAAATTTTTTGAATTTTTTTTCTCTCTCTCTAGAAATCAAAAACATGAAGCCTCTGATTCGTCGTCTCTCACAAATCGCCGATTCATCCTCCGAATCTTCTCTCTGCAACCAAATTCGCCGACGCGACGTTCATCAACCGACGTTGGCGAATTCACCGTCTTCGGTTTACTTGGTTAAACGAGCAACCACCGCGTCCTCTGTTCCTTCCGGTCACGTCCCTGTAAATGTCGGCGACGAGATGGAGCGGTTCGTGGTGAGTGCGGAATTGATTAACCATCCGGTTTTCGTCGGTTTGCTTAACCGATCTGGTAATGAATATGGTTATGCTCAGAGAGGTGTTCTTCATATTCCTTGTAATGTCTTGGTGTTCGAGAGAGTTGTTGAGATTCTCCGATCTGGAATCGCTGAGTTTTCCGATTTGCCGGAGATTGTTGCGTCGTTGTCCGGCGATGATTTGTCTCTGTGGTTGCCTGGAATTACAGAGTAGAG